TCCGGTGTTTCCACTATTCGCCACCGGAAGCGGATGGACCATCTGCCACACCCACTCCCTCGCCCACGCCCACCGCCCCAATATCACATTAATTTCGCCTGCGTATGCAAATAGATTTTCAAACAAATCGAATTAATTTAATACGAGATTTTGATTTGATTTTTGCCAAATGCCAAATGTATTTTGTATATGTTTTTCCGTCCGTTTTTGTGCATTAACTTAATTGCATTTAAATGGAAAAACATCGCAAGTGCATTGCGTGCGAGTTTTAATTAAAACGAAAATAAATAATCAACCAGGATGCGGAGTTGCATTCATTCGGCTGGAAAATCGAACGACGGTTTTCCGGATACCCTTTAACCATTTGCAATAAGACTTTCTGCCGCTGGCCAAACAAACTGGATCACCAGTGTTCATTCATCATACTCGGCACTCGGGCGCCTAATGAGTTCTCTTTGGCCTGTCAAAACGCAATTTGATTATTAGATGCCAGCCATGTGGTCGTCTGAAATTTCATCCAATCGAATGGGCTGCTGCTCCACGATAAAGGTGTGTTCGAACTGCCAATCGATAAGCCAACCGCCTTTTTGCCCGCCTCCCTTTTCCCGCACATCAGTCACTGTCACACCATACCCAAACCACCCACCAACCACAAATGGGTAACCCCCACTCTATGGCGCTGGGCCCTATGCCATCCTATAACACCTCCCCATGCCGAAACGTGATTAATGCGTTGACGTTGCAGCTAAGCTAGCTGTTTTGCCGGCCATCATCAACAGCAGATATAGCCCAAGATATCAGGCGAAAACGTATGGCATCTAAAAACTTAGATAATGCCCAGCAGATTTCACACTCAACCCACCCACCCAGAGATTTGTAATGTTTTGATTGCTGAGGAGAAAAGAACGAGGACGCGTGTCAGGACTTTTGGTCCATGGAACTGTAGACACGTGCCCGCATTTGCGAGCGTAAGGTTTCGCGGATTAATTTCAATTTGCCAGCCAGAAAAACAGAAGAAAAGAGGGTGTGGAGCTGCAGAGCTTTGCTGCTAATTATGTGTGGAATGTTTTAGATAAACAATGCAGCAAGAAGCAGGCTGCAGCGGCAAAAAGGACATCGGATGCTGGGTCTGTTGCTGTTTCAGTTGCTGCTTTTGCTGTTGCCGATGTTGCTGGCCTAATCCGTAAGTGTCGTTCTCAAGCACGCAACAGCGGCAGGCGCTGATAGAGCACACACACCCAGTGTGAGCGACCCGCTGAAAGGACACTGAGTGCCAGGATAGCCAGGACCAACGGGACCAACACCACCCCCAATCCCAAACCCACTTCATAATGATGGGGCGCTGTCGACATCGACGTGTCATCGACAACAGGCAACGGTTTTGGGTGGGGGCTTCGGTCTCGCACAGCCTGTTTGTAGCCTGTTGGTCAGAGATAACAGCAATTTATTTTCAAGTCATCATTTTAATTATCCCGTTTGCAATGCCAATGACAACCTTGCGTTCTGGGCGCGGCTGCCTGGCCGCCTGGCTGACTCGCTGACTGGCTGACTGGCTGGCATTAAACGTGACAACACGAGGATGGCAGCCATTTTGCTCATTAAAATATAATATGTATTTTTTAATTTCACAGAAATGTTTGCACAAAAATTTTCTCGAAACAAAGTTGAGAGCAAGCCCGTTGTCTGCCTTTCATCGTCCTTTTCCTTTTTCCTTGTACCAAAATGGAAGCCCCCACGTTTTCCTGCGCCTTCGTACATTTCCATCTTTTATTCCCTGTCTGTCTGTCTCTGCAGCCCGAAAATCCTTTTTTCTTTCATTCTTTTTACCCTTTTTTTTTGCGTTTTCCATTTGTCTAACCGGGTAACCCCCACCCACCGGGCCTAAACCCCAAAAAAAGCCCACCAGTTCACCCCCACTCAACCCATCCGCCATCATGCGTTTTTATAACCGGAAGCGTTCATGAGAAAGTTTCCGCTTTCATAACCGAATTTTAATTAACTTTCGAAAACCTAATTACAAAGTATTATTATAATGAAAAAGCAGTGCACAAAGCGAGTGGAGAAGAGAAGGGTTCCGGGTACAGGGAACCGGGTCCATGGGGGTCCACGTAGAGAGCCCGAACCATCCATTCCAGCCAGCCAGCCAACCAAGCGAGTGCTGCCCCTGCAGCGACATCCACGACTACATCCTCCATTTCTACAACCTCCAACCCACGAGATTGTTACACTGAGAAAACAAACAAAATGTGTCTTAAAGGGTTCCAATAAGTATTAAGATAAGAATATATATAAACATGTACTTTAATTTTTATAATTATTCGGACCCCCTATTGAAAGTCAATATAGCGATTAGTTTTCATTATCTCTAAGTACTTTACATTCCACTAAGACATTCTTATTTCTAATCATTCTATCTAAAATCATTAAGGTTTTTAAATATCTTTGTTAACGTTTATTATAAGTAGGGATAATAAAAAGTTGATAGTTACTATTATGACTATCTGTTTTGGTTGTTAAAGTATCCGAACAGGATTATACGATTAAAATAGAAACATAAGATGGTTTGTTATTCTTCGTACTCCAACAACATAATCTCATAATTTTAATATCACAATCTTCAAGTGAGACCCTTTTTATCCCAGTGTACGTTGCGCTGTCTTTGAGTGCCTTGGTGTTTGGGGAAACGGGAGAAGGATGATGGAGCTCGGAGGATAGCAAAGGCACTACTTCCTGTGTATCCATCCGGCATAAGCTCAGGAAAAAAGGGTTGCCCGACCGCTTTTTCTACGCTACCCAGAGATTCTCCTCCACTTTTGCCTGTGTCTCGTTTTAAAATTAAATATTCCATTAGAAAATTACTACAAGATTGTGGTTCTTTATTAGCAGCAACAGCAGCAGTCGAGGCTTTTGGCTGGAAACTCAACTGAATTCAACTTTGTTGCCACAATCTCTGGCTGCGGCAAAACCTAACTAAAAACTGAAATTTGGTTGCTTTATAAATGTGTCGGAAACTTTCATCTCTGAATTCAATTTAAACTTGGTATTTTTGGTAAATTTCTGCTTGTGTAAATAATATACATTTTATCAAATAAAGGCATGCACATAATATTGAAAGAGGGGGTTCACAGACATGCGATGACTTCCCCAGAACTGTGGCAATCATACATTTTTAATGACCAGGCAAATGTCATGACAAATTTTTCCTATTTGCCAATTTTCAAATGGTTTTGTTTTGTGAGAGAGTTTAACTCAACTTGTTTGGGGAAATGGAATATTAAATCCATGTTAGGAAAAATAATTGCAAATTGATGACGGCGGCGGCGGCGGGCCATTTATGAATAGATATAGATATAGATATAGCTGTGGAATATAGCTGGACAGCCTTGTCTAGAGAGCTCAACAAACTCTAGAGCTGGATCGTCTTTAGCGCGCATGTCTGGCATTAAGGCATCGATATATAAATTGTGTGGGGGGTTCGAGTGGGTGGTTGGGCGGCTTTGGGTGGTTGTCTGTTTAGCCGAACCAACCCCAAAACACAGATTTCCTAAGCCCGGCCAGATGGGGTTGTTTGCTAGCCGGGGTAAAATGAAGAAACTCCGCCAGAACGCTGACAGTCACAATGTCAAGGAAAAATCGAAATTGAAGCGACAACAAACGAAGCGCCATTTTGTTGTCGCTTTTAGGAGAGACCTCGGTCTCGACCCAGACCAAGTCCCCCATTTCTCGATTTTGTAGACCCCAGACCCATTTCCAGACCCCAAATACAAAGCGTACTCTTTATGGAACAACTCCAGCCAGGGGGTTGGAGGCTATAAAAAATGTATTAAAGCCAGTCGCCCTCACATGTAGAAATAAAATGTCGTTTATAGATATATAGAAATGGTGACCTTCCCTGGTTAATTAAAAATGACAACAGCTTGTCAAACATGCCCCAGCCACCAAGATAAGTTAGACGGGTAATTCTAAATTTTAATGTCAGCGGAATGTCCGAGAAACGTAGATTCTTCCAAATGAATCACACCGATGTTAATCAAAGGTGGATGGTTAGTGGTTCGCTAGGGGGAACTGCGTCGGATCAGGCTCGGTCTGTTGTTTATATTGACGAGATAAGGTCCACGATAGGGAAGGTACTCATACACGACGAGTCGAACTGCTCCATGAATATTACTAGAAAGCAAACAGAGTGGAAATCGAGCCGGGCTGAAGACTTCCCTCCCCGGTATTCGGGAAAGTGGAATCGAGGGATAGGTGTTCCGTGGGGTTGGGTTGGGCTGAGATGGGTTAGTCAGTATGTCAGGTCCGGGACGGGACCCATGTCCCATCCTGGTTGTTTACCTTCTTGTTCCGTTGCAATTTATGAGTGCGCTGCGATAAGGGTTTATCATCGGGCAGATATAGTGCATATAGTAGTAGAAGTTGTGGAAAACTGCACTCTGCATCTGAGTGACGGCGATAAGATAGCGACTCCTGGAACTCCTCGGCTATCGGTCGTTCAATTCGAATTCGCTGCATTGATATAGGCGATATCGTCGATAGATAGAGACAGCCAGCCCAATCAATATATAAATGATTGTTGGAGGTCAGTTGTTTAAGTCAACAAAGAAGGTTGGGAAATGAAAACTAATTTATGATTTTTTTTCCTTTTTCTTGTATTTCAAACATTAAAATAGTCGATTTTGGTTGTCGTTGACGTTGTGTTTGTTTTGCATGATTTATAATAATATTAATTTTTACTAGCTTTAGAGTTGGATTTTAATTCTTGCATTGACATTTATTGAATTTTATATTGTGTATTTTACAATAATTTTCATTTGTTTCTGTGTCAGTGTGTGTGTTTATATTTAGACTATTTTTTATCAAGTTTAATTAATTAGCTTAGCTCAATGTAAAAATGGGTCTTTGTTTTGTGTTTGCATTTCGTGTTTTTTTATTTCTCTTTACGCACAATATAACTAATATTAAAAATTATTGAATAATAATTGCAGTTTTTCGCTTTTTATGTGATTTTTTTTTCTTTTTGTGTTTTGCTTCATTATTTATGCTAATTAAATGTTAAATGCTATACAATATTTATATTTATATTATATTTATTTTCAAGTGGTGTGGCATAATTTCATACAATTTGATTAATTCTTGAGTTAGTTAAAAGTTGGTTGCTTAGTTAAATTGGGGTTTTTTATGGGGTGTTGCTTAAATTTATCTATTTATAGATTATTTACAAAATGCCTTAGCCTAACGAATTCGTACAACAACAGAAGACACACAATGTAAATGAAATGCGGGATTTTGCGATATATCGGCGTATATCGATGCGCGTATATATAAATGGGAATTTGATAAATTATTCAATAAAAAACGTGACGTTTCCTTATATGCATGGCCAGATTTTGTTGCTTAGATAGTTTGAAGATTCTTAGGGTGTTTGCTGGACTGCTGAATATGATGGTTTAGATTTCAGATTTCTTTTTGGTTTTTGATCATTTGCGATTCGAATTCGATTGCGATTGCGATTGCCTTTGGATAAAGGTTTCTAGTATTTGTATCTCTCTTTTTGGGACTGTTTTAGTTAGGGTTTTCTGTTTTCTGAACGAACATTACACACGATCCCCACTTTCTCTCTATCTCTACTACTCCTCCTCACTCGGATACATTTAAAATGTTTTTTAAATTTTTTAGTTTTAACCGCTTTGATTGTTATTGCTTGTTTCGAAACAACGAAAACAAATGGCACGGAATTATTATTTTGTATTTGTGTATTAGCAAAACGTAAAAATGTTAACAAAAGTTCTGCTGCACTTACAACTACATCACTTTTTCTTTCGCTCCTCATCGTTGTCCTCCTCTTTGATTTGATAACCCCCCGGAACAGAATGGTATTTGCATATATATATATAGTATTGGAACTGAAACTGAACAACTCAAAAGGCAGCGCTCCCTATATATATATGTATATGTACAAGTGCGAGTTGGCGGCCGAAGACTCACGTGCTCAAAGGATGAGGATGTGGATTTGGATGGGGATTTGGATTTGGATGTGTCAGGTGCTAAAAGCCACTGGCACTGCACTCGCTAATTGGCAGCTAGCAACAAAGCCGCTGCCTGTCGAGATCGAGATTGGTATGGGTAGTGGTATTGGGATTGGGATCTATAGCTAGTGCTACAGCAGATTCTGCAGGGCGGCGGCTCCATTGAAAGTTAGGCTGTGATTCCAATTTCTATAGCCCGCCGCGGCGGCATATTGCTGATAGTTGTTGTACAACTGCTGCTGCGCCGCCTGATGCTGCTGCAGTTGCTCCTCGCTCAGATCGCTGGTGATGTTCGAGGAGTCCTCCTGCAGTTCCTGCAGCAACTGTTGCTGCTGCGCCTGGTGGTGTTGCTGCTGCTGCTGTTGCGCCTGCTGCTGTTGCTGCTGCTGGTGCAGCTTTTGTGAGTAGTTAGATCCTGATCCCGAGCCGGAGCCCGATCCGGAGCCCGTTCCCGATCCCGAGCCCGATCCCGCCTTGCCGCTGGCCTTGGCTGCTGCCGATGTTGCTGGTGTATTGGAAGCGGATGTCAGTTGCTGCGCCGCCTGCTGCTGCTGTTGCAGCTGCTGTTGCTGCTGCGCCTGCTGTTGCGCCTGCTGCTGTTGCTGCTGCTGCTGTTGCTGCTGCAGGTGGTGTTGTTGCTGCTGCTGCAGGTGCTGTTGCTGCTGCGAGCGCAGCATCTGTTCCGCGCGTCCTTAAGCCAGCGGGTATTGGTGATGTCACAAGCTCGTGGTGCCGGCGGGCGCATGGTAACCCAGGCTCTGGTAGTAGGAGTCCTGGCCTAAGGCAGCGTGTGAGTTGGTCAGCGGACTGAGCGCATTGTAGCCGGCGTACTGGCTCATGTCGTACATCTTGATGTCCGCCTTCGACTCCGTTGGCAGCAGGCGGTTGATGGAGAACGGGTGGCTGGAGGGCGTGTAGCCGGAGGGCTCCTGCTTCAGCGGATGCATCGAGGAGTGATAGTCGCTGATCAGCGACGGATGGCACCGATTTGCCATCATCGCCGAGAGCTCCTCCTGCTGCAGCTGGTGGTGCTGGTGGTGGTGATGGGTGGGCACGTGCTGCGGCTGCTGGCTGAGGCACAGTTCCGCGTTGGCATGCAGCATGGCCAGGGCCTCCGCATCCTTGCTGTGTGCCGCACTCAGGACATTCACCCCGGCGATGGATGCTCCACCCGCCTCCTTGTGATGCTGATGGTGATCCAGTCGGCTGTGGTGGTGGTGGTGCATATGATGCGAATCCTCGTGATCCTTCTTGCCCGGGCTGGTGGCCTCCAAGCTGCTATGCGATGGACTCTTATGTAGCTGCCTGATGGCCTCCTTCTTCTCATCCTTGAACCTCTTCTGCCTCCGCAGATAGCAACCATTCTCAAACATATTCCCCGAATCCGGATGCAGTGTCCAGAAGGATCCCTTTCCCGGCTTGTCCGGTGTCCTGGGATCTTCACAAAGCAGTCGTTGAAGCTCAGCGAATGCCTGATGGAATTCTGCCAGCGCTGCTGATTCTGCCTGTAGAACGGAAAGAGGTCCATGATGAACTGGTAGATCTCCGAGAGCGTCAGCATCCTGGTGGGATTATTCTGGATGGCCATGGTGATCAGCGAGATGTAGCTGTACGGCGGTTTGGCATGCGTATAGCTTCTCCGATAGGTGGTCGGTTTGTCCACCCGCGATCTGCCCAGGGAATTGGGGGAACCAGTCTCCATCTCCCGTGAACCCGGCGGCATGGCTCCATAGGTGCCGCTTAAACCCGCGGCGGACATACTAGCCGCCGACATGGCCATGCAGCCACCCATGTTTCCAAGTGGGGATCCCATGCTGGCATAGCTCATCGAACTGGGGGTCATACAGTTGCCGCCCATCGAGTTCATGGCCGCCGCACCCATGCTGCCGTTCATGCTGGCATTCATGCTGGCGCTCATGCTGGCACTCATGCTGGCCACCGCCGCCGCCGAGTCCAGAACGCTGGAGCTGAAGGTAGCCGCCGCCTGGGGGGAGACGGACGACATGCCGCCCACCGGGATGCCCATGCTGTTCATTGTGTAGGCGGATCGGGCCAGGGGACTCATGCTGCCGCCATTGCTCGTCGGATTCGGGTTGTTATTGCTGGGCGGTGGGGGCCCACCGCCTCCTCCTCCTCCGCCGCCTCCCCCGCCCGATGGAGGACCGCCACCCGAACTGGCCATGCTCACCGGAGCACTGCTCGGAGGCGGCTCCGCGTAGAGCTTCTGCATGATGTCAATGGTGGTCTGGTGGGGACTACCCTTCAGGAAGCTGTTCAATAGTTGCGCCGTTATGTTGCCGGCTTTCGGACGCGCTGCCCTCTGGTGGATCGATGGAAAAGGCAACGCGTTCTGGGACGCGTTATTCAAAACGAAAAATCAAAAAGGAGGTCTTTTTAAGGTGGCCTTATATGATTGATTAACCAATCAAGACTGGGCTTTCAGTGCACTATCACTGCTTTAGTTTGCATATTTCTGGCATTTTATCGAGAGCACTTGGGCACTTGTCACTTGTTGGAAGGTTCTGCTTCTGCTTCTGCTTTTGCTTTTGCTTCTAAGCTTTGTTTGTAAACACTGTGATTTAATTATTTGTGTGGGATAATCATATAAAACTGAGATATATCTCTATTTTACTATTTTTGTTATGATTCTATTTCCTTTTTTTTTTTTTAATATTTATTTTCTGCCGCACCGATTTGGCCACAAAAAACCGACGCACGAACGTGGATATTTAGCTGGCTGTTGGCCACTGAAGTCTGAAGCTGGGAATTGGTTGCTGTGCTGCTGCTTTTGCTGCCGCTGCTTTTGCTTTTGCTGCTTTGGCCGATGCTGCTGTTAATGCTGTTTCTGCTTTCCTGCTATTGCTGCTGGTCCGCTCGAGTGTCTCTTTGGCTTGAGCTCTTGAATGTGACTGTTTGCAGAGGGGAACGCTTGTCTACTATTTGGCTTGCGCTTGCTGCCAACAAATATTGTTCGAGCCGCGCTCAAGTGCCCTACGTCGACGCTGGCCGAGGCAGCGACGTTGGCCGTGGCAGCGACAGAGGCAGCAACAACAACCGACTCGTTCTCACCAATGGCCCAGTGGTATAGTGTGTCTCACCACCCGGTAATTTTGGAGTTACCAATGACAAGCGGCGGTTCTCTTACGTACACAGTGGTGGCACAGCGCAAGCGCATTGGCTGGAAGGCCTCTTGTATCAACAGAGCAGTGCCGGTTGCCAGGCAACAAACCATATGGGGGGCGTGGCCAATCCAATGCCGAGCAACGCCCTCACTCACACACCCTCAGCGGGAGATACAAATGCCTCTGCCCGCACAGATACAGATACGTCGTGGCATAGCCTAATGCTGAGCGACGCCATGTTACAGTTAACGATTTTCCCTAATGCGATCAATAATCGCTCGCTCTCGTTCTCGCTCTATAGAGTGTGTTATAGAGTGCTATCAAAAAAAAAAGGAAAAGAAGAAGAAAAAACCCTATAGACGAGGTCTGGAGACGGCATCTCTGGGGAGACTGAGAATGCGACGCTCTGTTTTTGCGAGAGACACAAAAAGAACGCAGGAAGCCGACTTGGCCTGGCTCCCCCAAAGAAGACATTTAATATTATGGGTGTGTGTGTGTGTTTTTTACTGTCAGTTTTTTTCGTATTCCGTATTTTCTGTTCTTTTTTTTTTGAGGTTAAGGTATGCCAATGTCACTCTCATTCATTCCCATTCGCATTCGTGGCGAGGCATCGCGAGCGGCAGCAGCAAAACATCAGAACAGCGGCACAGTTCTCCTTTTTGGCAAGTCATTGCGAAAGTGACCCAGTTCTGCAGGCCATCTCATCCTCTTTTGCCCAGCTCACCACTTCCACATCTCAGCCGAGATACATCCTACCTGAGATACCCACAAAAACATATCCACAGTTCATTGATAGCGCGTGCTGGCGGAAAACTTCCTGGTATCCTGGCTGCCATCCACGTTTATGGTTACGGACAAAACGTATTTCAATTTTGGGCCATAAACCATAGACGCCTTTCATAACCCTTTCGTTTGGCCAAGTGTATCTGCGAGTGTCTGTGTGTGTGTGTTGGTATCTGTGTCCGTGTGTATTTGTGCAAGTGTGTGTGAGCCAGGCTCATTATTGCGGCCATAAACCGACAATTGTCTCGTTTCTCAATGAAAGTTTTTACTCAATTAAGAAATACCTGAGTAGTCAGAAACGCAGGGAATTTCCGCATTACATTTCCATTTGTCAATGCAAGAGTTCCACTTCCTCTCACAGTTTATAGTCTACATCTAGGCGCAAGGTCCATAGATTATTGAAACAAAATCTTTTGTATGTGATTCTTGTGTGTTTTTTGTTTGTCTTTTCTGTTTAATTTTGAATTAATTACAAAATCTCAAGATAATCGACACAAATGTTTTATAACTATATTAAAGTTGTATAACTGTATAATAATAATATAAATAAGTTCTAAATGTTTGGGGAAGCTAAGTATATTTCAAAGTATTTAAAGAACACACCATAGTACCTCAATTATTATCCTGAGATCACCTAATTTCTGGATAATTCGAATGATTCATGATCTTGTCAAATATAGCTAATTCCAATTTACATAAGAACTACTGAGTAATATTTTTATCATTTCCGCGATTATCATCAAACTGTTTGAATAATATAATAATTATCAAGAATGAGATAAGATAGAAAGATAAATGAAACTGAAAGGAAAAAGCCGTGCTCCAAATAAAATATTCATAATATTTTCCCTTTCAAAACTGTTTGACTTCCCATTCGGATATCTATATCCCATCATCATGATCATTAAACATCAAACACTTTAGGTGACTGAACACATATGTATCCAAGTCTTTATGTGCACTTCTAATAACCGTAATGTGCTTAAATATTTAATATTTTTATTGTATTTCACAGGCAATTCAAGTGGCTTTGGCTCATTAATGTTTGCGGTGTGGGCGGGCATTTGGGTTTGATTGTTCAGAGCGCATCAAATGTGTGCTTTTTTTGGCGTAGACTCTCTGCAAATAGTAATGCCAGGCAGTCCAAAAATGTGTATTTATTTACCTTTTAGTCATTTATCTATTTATTTATTTGCTTTAAAAAGCGCGCCACTGTAGGTCGGATTCGGGTTCGTTTCGGTTTGCTTTTGGCTGGGTTTTTGATACAGTTGGATACAGTAGTTCGGCTGCACTCGGCTATCTGGCAAAATCGGGTCTAAGCCCTGCTCAAACTTTTTAATTAGTTTCAATTGCTGGCGCCCCCCCCAAAAACGCCTGCATGCATTCACAAATGGATATTTATGGAAAATATTTGCTTTGCTACTTTTTTCCCGCTGTTGTTTTGATTTTGTTGGTGGAACTCGGTGTGTTGATATGGCTTTAAAATGCTGCGCTTTCTGTTTGTTTTAAGCATTTGTGTGACGCATGCGCTGTGTGGCAATGACTTTACAAAATTATATATATATATCTATCAAACCATTTGACCAACATTTCTCAGATATATCTATATCGGTGAGTTGCCATCCTATGTATAATATTTATTTTTATTGTTATTATTTGTTATTGTTGATTTATTTGTTTGTTCAATATTTTCACACAAATTAAAATACCCAGCCGCATTTGAATCGACACCATCGGACAACCGACGATTGAGCATCAATGTCGTTTTAACGGTTTCGTTGTTTTATTTGCTTTGTATTTTTTGGCTTAACCCAATTATCAGGTCTCATTAGTGAATATTTAATCATTTGCAAACCTTTACCAACAGATGATCACAATGTTCTAACATGCAGCGCAAACAAATCGAGATCTTGCGTTCTTGGTGGGATAATTAAATGCTTTTACTCTATAATGAATTTTAGCGATTATTCAACATATAGTCGAATTTCCGTCAATAAAGAAACTTAATATTTTGTTTATATCAATCAATATGTGGACTAACTTGTTTTGTTTAGCACTTAAATCTTGTTTCGGCTGTTTTGAACCAATTTGCATAAAATTTTCATGAAATTAATTTGGAAAATGTAGGTTTGTATTATTCAGTATCATTTATTTTTGTAAGATTCATTTTATTTGGTGAAATTTATTAAATAATTATTATTTAATCAATGTTAAAAGTCATTTTAATAATTATCAAAAATATCTTAATATACTTCACAGAACTATGCATACATATAAATGAATGCATGAAATAGTTCTGAAAATATTATTGTTTAATAGGTTTAAGAAGACCAATATGATTTGCTTTGGACTTTCAATTTTAATTTAATTGAGCATTAAGAAATTTGAGGTGTATCTCTTAGGTATTTCGCCATGGGTCTATGAATCGGTGTCCGTATCTTTAGATGCGTGTGTATCTAGGTCTTTGTACTGCGTGTGCCGTAATGAGCGTAACCATAAAAGCGTCTTTTGTTTTACGACCACATTGCGCGCGTGTTTACCATAGAAAACAATGCCAATTTTATGGCTGCCCCTGCCACGCAGACAATGGCCCAAAAGAACCGCATCCCGACAGTTCAAGTCCAGCATCCAGTCCGCCGATATAAGGTACATATATGGTATATTGCATACTATATATACATTAAACAAAAGGTGACGGCGAAACTAGAGCAAATGGGTCGAAAGGGTGATGGCGAGCGGAACGCTGCATTAATTAGAACGCTACGGATATACGGATATACACATAGGTTTAAGGATCGGAATTACTTTCTTCGGGGCCATAAAACGGCTCTTATCTAAATTAGGATGTTGCTTGTTTGCGGCTGTGTCTGCGTTTCGTTTTCACTATTTGCGTAGGTGTTTCATTTCCGTTTCACAATTTATCTGGCGAGTGTTTGCCGGCGAATGCGGCAGCGCACCTTTTGCCGCCTCGAGATTTTCCTTTTTCCAACTTTCACATGTGATTTTCTTTGTTGTCTTATCAGTTTTTGGCGCGTCAGCCGACCTCGTCGTCATCGTGATTCACATTTTTTCCTATTTTCACTGCTTGCACTCAAGACTGCATTTCCTCAAGACCGAAAAGGGTCGATTCGCCCGAATGCAGTTTTTGGAATCGAGGGAATTTGGCGCATTTGGGGTGCGTGCCTTATCGAAGCCTACGGGGCTACGACACTACGATATCGCATAAATCACAGCCTAGTCGCGCTTTTGCTTGATTATTTCCATTTTTATCTACTTCGCTGCGGCTGGCTATAAAGTTTCTGGTTTTTATCTTTGTGCAAACACGGGAAAGCAGCGCTATTAAGGCCCTGGCGACCTTATTTCCTCTGGGCACCAAGAAAACAGCGAATTCTATTCTTTTAATTAAAAGACCACAGGCGAGAAAGAACCCCTCCCCCGAAATCCAAACATTGAGGTCAGCATGGCAACGGAATTTGCTAAATAAATGTGGGATAAAGAGAAAATGTATCTTAAAATGGTATGTAAGATGTACATAACAAATGGTAATTATTAAATGATAAAAGTAAAATAAAAAAAATGTAAATTATATTGTATCGCTGCCTTGCAATCTTGTTTTATTTTTATTTTCACTTCTACTATTTCCATATTAATTTAAATAATTCTCACTTTGGCCAATTTTCCATAATTTGTTTACCCAAAATTCAAAGGAAATCTTGAATTCACGTTTATCCATTTTAAAGTTATTTCCAAACAAATTATTTTTTGGCTGAAATCGATTGGAGTGGTTAAATTGATTAGGAGCCGAGAGAGCCGGTTTTCTCTCACCAAACCAGTTTATGCAACCCCAACTATAGGGAAGATTCCGAGAATGACCACCACCACTATCGCCATCGTCCAAATTGATCATGCGAAAGAATGTTTTGAACATCGAGATTTGTTTCTGTCCGCTCCTCACAAAATACTCATGCAACTTAGCACCAGGCTGCTAATTATTTATTCGTTGCCTGAAAAATTAACTTTCCAGCGGCGAACATTGTTGT